AATATTAATAAAATATTAATTGTTAATAAAATTGTATTTGTTGGGTAAAAAATCTTAAAAATGCAATACAATTCTCCTGATAGATATTTATAATATTAATTAAAAAATATTTAAAATACATAGGTACGATTTTAGTAATGAGCATTTAAAGCAGTAGTACTCAACCGGGGTGACATGTCACCTTAGGGTGACGTGGACCTAGCTTAGGGGTGACGCAGAATTTTAACAAGAAAAGAAAAAATTTAAAAAATAAATTTTTCGATAATAGTAAAATTATAATAATAATAATAATAATAAAATTTCGAAAACAATCATATTATTTCTTATAATACATATATTATTCACCTATACCACCACTGTCATGTACATAACATACCTCAAAGTTCGTATCTTTATATACGCTAGACAGCTTTTGGGTGGCTCTTAACAATGAATACCCTCGATTATCGAAAAATGCTATTAATGTGCTCCTTCAGTTTTCTACGTCTTGGTTATGTGAGCATGGCTTTAGTGCACTAACAAATATAAAAACAAAAAAACGCAACAGACTCACAAAAACAACTATAGAAGACGATATGAGACTCGCTCTTTCCACCATCAAACTTAGGATTCCCCAATTTTGTAAAAAACACCAGGGTCAAATTTCACATTAAATTTATATAAATCATTATTTTTTTTTTAACTTTAATTTTTTTCTGTACTGTATTTTTTTTTTAATAAAAGAATAATTTTAATATATACAGCTAAGATTATTTATTATTTTGATGTTAGGTTTTTTTTTTTTTTTTTACATTACACAGTTAGGGTGACGCGATGTTTGATTCTAGTGCCTAAAGGTGACATGAATCAAAAAAGATTGAGAACTACCGATTTAAAGTTAAAATTTTAACAAATTTCACATCATTGAAAATGTTCAAATAGTTTTATAATTTAAGATTTTTGAAATATTCAACTTTTGTAGGTTAGGGTTGACAATTCAAAACAGAGTTTCAAGCAAATAGGTTATTCTGTTATTAAAAAATCAAAAAAATATTATCACAGATTTTTTATATTCAAATGTGAACTAAATTAAAGATTCGATTGCCAAGAATAATGATTTATGTTATTTTGTTGTAAATTAAAAATACTATTCGTGGGTATTTGACACTTTTAAAGTATATTATTATATTTTATACCCACAATTACTTTTTAAATGTACTTTTTTTTTAATGAATTTAATCTACTAATACTACTACTAATACTAAGTATACCTAATACTTACTAGTAAAATAAATTACTTTAATCACAATAATATCATCGAATATACTAAATTATTAAGTAATATTATAGACTTACAGACCGTCTTCGCTCAGAATCGTTTTTCGTATGCAATGATTTTTTATCGTTGAATTCAAACTTAACACCATCCATTACAGTGACAGAATTGCAACCTAATGTACATCAGAGCGACCTCCACGTACCAGCTTTTTTTAAATATAATTTTCAATATCTTAACATTTTTAACTTAACTGATTTTTATTGCTAAACATTTATTAAATAATGAGTTACTTTTAATC